TCTCATGGACTTTCCTGCCCGGGCTGGTTTTGAATCATGACCTTCAGATCTCAGCCTCCTGAGTAGCTAGGATTATAGGCGTGAGCCACCGTCGTGGTGTGGATCTGGGGAACTGTCTCACTGGTGTGCAGTGACACCTCACTCAGAAGTGACCCAGGGCTGCTGTCCCTGTGCTATTATGCTCAGCGTCTGATAGCCTACTATGCGCCAGGTATAAGGTGATGCGCATGTGGCATGCCAGAGGCAGAGGTGGTGTCTTCCCCATAGAAGATGGGGCCCTCTCCCTCCGCCAGGGAAGACAATGGTGGTCCCCCACACCTCTTCCACACCTCCTGAGGTTCGGGGCTAAGTACTGAGTCTGCCACACATATTTTTGAGTGGCTCATACTATATTTCACACCATTTGGAGGTTTCGTGTTTGCGTGTTCTAGCCTTAAGTGTCCTAAAACTAGGGAATCATTCCATTAACATAAAGTCGGGGTTACCTTCATTAGAAGAGAATTATTCAAAGACTTGACGGACTCAGATGCTCTGGTGTCTTGCCAACTGATGAAGTTGTGAAAGGGAACCCCTGTCTTCCTAGGGAAGATGACCCAGAAGCACGTTAGGAGACGGGGCACACTGGGCACGTGCCCCGAGGAACACAAAGCCGGAACATCACGCACGACCTCATCACATGGGCCTTCCAGAAGGACCTGTCTTGTGGTTCGGTAAGCTGAACCCTCATGATAACTACCTGCTGTATTCTGGGAGGTTTCATGTCAGATTCTATCCAGGCCGCTATTCCACTCGAAACACGACAAACCCAAAACAAAATTACTGAAAAGGTGCCAGGCCTGGTGCTGCCTGCCTGGAATCCTGCACTCAGGAGGCTGAGGCAGGAGGATCCCAAGTTCAAGGACAGCTAGACCTTATCACCAAACAACAAAACAACAGACACTTAAAAAGCCAGTGCTCCTTTTGTTATATGCATCCTGCTTGACACAAATAGAATAGACCTGGGACCTCATCTCTCATCTTCATGCTGGCTTAGCCTAGAGAAACTTCTCTAGGAAAGATCTAAGCCAAAACCACAATAAATATAAAGAGTCAAGAAATGCAGAGAAAAAAAAAATCTTTTTTACGTCTCCTGCCCATTAACCTGTGGTATGCGCTAATCCTTTTCTCCTCCCTCTCTCCTTGTCTGCAGTTTGGGGAAATGCTGGCAGCCTTCTGATCAGCCTTCGGATCTTATTGTTCTGACTCCAGAAGTAAGGGATGGTTCCAGAGTCACAGAACAGTAGTCGGGTAGCTCTCGCCTGTAATCCTGGCTATTCACGAGGCTAAGATCTGAGAAGAGGAGTTCAAAGCCAGCCTGCCCAGGAAAAGTCTGCAAGACTCTTATCTCTAATTAACCACCAAAAAGTGGGAAATGGAGCTGTACCTCAAAGGGTAGAATGCTAGGTTTCAGTAAAAAAGCTTAGGGAAACTAGGTACCAGTGCTCACACCTGTAATCCAAGCCACTCAGGAGGCTGAGATCTGAGGATCACGGCTCAAAGCCAGCCCAGACAGAGAAGGCTGTGAGACTCCTATCTCCAATAAATGACCAGAAAACCGGAAGTGACACTATGGCTCAAGTGGTAGAGTGCTTGCTTCAAGCTGAAGAGCTGAGAGACAGTGCCCAGACCCAGAGTTCAAGCCCCAAGACAAAA